GGCAAGATTTGTTTAGAGGAGGCTGAAAGCGTGTGACTTGCCCAAGGTTACCTAGTGGGTTTCCATGAAGGAATGGGGAGTTGAATCCTGGTTTCTAGAGTCATAGTCCAATGCTCAAACCACTGCACCAAATGCTGGTTCTCATAAGGAGCAGATACTGTGTGTGTGTGTGTGTGGGGGGGGGGACTTTAATTAGGACAGTTCCTTACTTCTTATATGGAGGGGCAATGAGTATGAAATGATGACAGCTTTAGTTTCTAATGCAGCAAAGTTAGGGCATAAAGGAAATCCATGTAGGGTAAAATATGCTCATTGTGTAGGAAGTGATATGAGATTGATTGGATGTGACATGGTTAGTTAGGATGACTGTCATTCTAGTGTATCACAGGGCTGTAAAAGTGGGCATTTTTGAGAGCAGAAGCAGTTCTGAGCAAAGGCAACCTGGAGATCATTTGCCCAGGTAAACGCAAGGAGGATGAGAAGAAGAGCAGGTTGTAGCTTGCCTCACAGAGTGAAACAGAATATAGGAATGGGAAGAAGAGAAAAAAGAACTAAAGGGCAAAATTAAAGACATAGGGGCTGGGAAACTTGATCTGGATCAGGCCTCCACATCCAACACAGCCCCTCCCTACAAACTAAATCAGCTTGGCCTGATGTTCATATATTTAAGCTGGGGAAGAATGGAAGGCTATAGTTGTTGAGGCTAAGATCGTTCCAATCAAGTAATAAGTGTCCTGTGGTTTCAAATATGTATTAAGAAACATTCCCCATCCAACATTGATTCAAACAGGGTAGATTTTTTAAGGACTTAATCACACGGGTTTTCCGATCTGTCGTAGGATGCTGAGAGCACAATTCTGGAACAAAGCCCACCGGATCCCTTCACACGACGCATAGATACTTCCAGCTGGGCTCCACCCAGGAACTGTGCTTTCAGCAACCTATGATGGAGCAAGGAGAACATGGGAGGCTTCTTGGATTCTTGTTGGCAGCAACAAGGACAGCGTGGGGGGAAGGCGGCGTGTGATGGGAAAGGCGGTGCTGTGGGGTGATCGATTCCCCCACTGCCCACGGATTTGCTGCAATGCCTGGTGAATGCCCCCGCTATCAACCACATTAGGGAACTAAATGTGATGAGGTCCTTAGTCTATCAAAGAGTAATGAAACACATTAAGCCTTTAAAAGAACATACATGCACACACACAACCTTCAAATTCTAGTCCTGAGTGCAAAGGCACATTGTTTTTATGGTGGGGCTGAGGAAAACGAGAAGCTAAATTGCTGCAGCTAGAGATTTAATAAAACATCTACTTTTCTCTTGCACCCCTTGGAGTTATGTTTGGCACCCTAAGAGGGGTAGGCTGGCACTTGTTCTAGCCCACTGAGGCAGAGCTTTTTGCTGGCTGTGGGGAAATAAGCCCATCTGCTTTCTGCTTCCATTTGGCCTAGCAGAAGCAGAAGGGAAGCGGACTTTCTTTGCTTTCACAACCTACTCACTCGACCTCTATTGCCAAAGGGCTTGTGGAGGAGGGGGCTCTCTTCAAGTCTAGCTCCCCTATCATAATTTCATTTTGGGGAGGTGAAGAAGGAAAAAAGCCAAGGAAAAGAGGGTGGGAAACAATGGGAATCTTCTCCCCACCATGGGAAAAAAAATGGTTCTTAACATTTCATGAGCATTAGGACAAATAAGTCCAGTGCCTTGCATAAAAGGAAGACATTCCTCAAACTGTTCTGTCTCCTGAGTCAATAGCAAAAGTGGCCCCTGCAGCCTCACTCCACAGTCGCTGAGAACACGGTATGAAAACAGAAAGACACACGCTTGCTTTCCAAGATCCCAAGGTTATGTTTGCAAGTGCTGGCAGTTAGGGAAGCCTTCCTTTGACTTGTGAACTGAGCAAATCTGATATGGAAGTCACCAGGGGAGAAGACAATAAATATGGAACAGCAGGATTTCCTTTTTACAGTTGAATGTGCTTCTCTGGTCATAAAAAGCACACTTTACTGGCCAACTCTACTGTTATTGTTTCATATCTCCAATGAATAGGAGCTTTATTATTATTATTTAAATAACTTGAACTGAAATTATGGGTCATAGTCTGGGCACCAGTCAAAGCATAAGGAGCAAAGGCAGATTTAACACTAAACCATATGAATTATGTGGACAATAGAGCTATGGCACCACCTGAGAGCTGGCATTGTCTGTTCTGGATACAGTTATATTGTGCTTACAGAATTGGGTTCTCAGGCTTGTCTTTTGTGCCCACGTGGCTCTGATGTATCTTCGTTTTGCATCGATTCTGTTGTACAAGAGATACACTGGCCTTTGTTGTGCCAGGTCAATCCTATCCTGGAGTGCACTTGTTGTGCCGGGTTAATCCTATCCTATAGCACACTTTAATAGTGTGCTATCCTATATGCACTACTGAAGTGTGCTATAGGATAAGATTGATTTTCAAGAATATTTGGAAACTACAGTTTATTCAAAATACATCTTGCAATTACTGCAACCTAGCTAGAACAATTGACAATTAAAAGTGCAGATGTACTATTATCATTGTGTACAAGGGCATTCTGTAGTACAAGGCTGAACAACTTCAAGGGAGGTTTGGAAGACCTTTTGGAATACAATTGCATTTACAAACAAAAAGCTTGGGAAAGACTAAGTTTGTGCATATGACGCCTGTAGTTTTATGGGACTTGAGAAAGGTTGCAAAAAGTGGTTATCCAGCTTTGACAATATAAAGAAAGAAATACAGAAATATGAGTCAAGATCCTGTCCTGAGAGATGCATGTGTCTCATGCAACTTTATATCCAGTGCTACTCCCCACATCCACCCAGGAAGCTGTGCAGGCACTCCACTTTCTGCCAAGTGGTCATTTCTGAATTTCCATAAAGTGATGAGATCAGCAGTGAGGTGTAAGCACTTGCTGCTGGAGAAGTGAAACTAACTGGATGTGTTACCATTGATCCCCCTACCACTTTTTGATAACCTGGAAAATTGGAGTGGGGACTGTGGGGCTTAGATAGTGGGCTGAGCTGTGTGTGTGCTAGTCATCACAAACTGATTAATGTTATGAATGAAATTATGATTTGCAATGTTTTATGGTAGGATTTACAATATTGTAACTGATTAGGAAGGTGCCAGATATGTACAACACCAGAGATCCATTCAAGGACCCTATGTGTAATATGATTTTTGAATATAATCTGGAACTTTTTCTAATAAGAAATCACACTGGAAGCCAAGAGAGAACATTTATCTGGGTATTGCTACATCCACCAGTGCAATTACATGGTAGCAAAAGCTCTTTATCTATAAGGAAATGAATAAGCAGGCCTATTGGTACTGAATCATGTTTAGTAGCACTTAGTAACAATTTTTTAAAAAAAACCCTATTGTGTAAACAATGTCAAACACACTTACAGCCTCATATGTAAATATTCCTAATTCTACTGGTATTTTCACGTTATTTAGGGATTAAACTGAAGACTTCTCCTCCCTTGCTGGAGAGCTAAGACTTTGTCACACATGGGAGAAAATGGCATTACTGTTTCCCCTCATATACTTCCTTTAAACAGCTGCCAGTACCTCATGGAAGGTTGATACAAGGCACATTGTTAAGACAACAAGGACACATTGGTTTTAGGAAACCGTTTTAGCCCTAGGAAAAGTCTTGGTAGTCTTAATTTGGAAAATCCACTTTACTACTACTGTGAGGACACCCTCAATCCAGGAACTGTGCTATTAGAGATGGAGAGATTTCTTTGCTGTAAACACACACTGCATCTGTTAATCGGTTTTGGCCACTTGGTATCATATGGAGAAAATGGAGTCTGGGCTAACATATTTGTTTCTGGGTTGTTGTAGGTTTTTCGGGCTGTATGGCCATGTTCTAGAAGCATTCTCTCCTGACATTTCACCTGCATCTGTGGCAAGCATCCTCACAACCTCTGAGGATGCTTGCCACAGATGCAGGTGAAACATCAGGAGAGAATGCTTCTAGAACATGGCCATACAGCCCGAAAAACCTACAACAACCCAGTGATTCCAGCCATGAAAGCCTTCAACAATACAGTATTTGTATCTTTTCCTCCTCCTCCTCTTGTCTGTATTTAAAAACACTTGAAAAAAAGTGTGCCACCCCCTCATGGAATGAGCACACTGAAGAAATCCTCTACAATTTAATTCAGTTAATCATAGCTGTACTCAACCTAACTTTTATGAATTTGAGAACACTAGAAAGGGCGTATTTCTGCTTATTTGACAAAATATGTGGAAAAGGACACCCCAGAGATCATTGTTAAGGGGGAAAAAGGGTTCAAAGAAAACATGGATAATCTTGAAGGAAATATTGAAATGGGAAGTGTCAAATTAATATTTTAGCACATTGAAAATAACACAACTCCATCTATCGCCACCATTTTTGCATCCCTTTATTTGATAGGTAATTAATATACAGATGCCATTTGCAATAACTCTCTAGAAGCTTGCAAACATGAATCCTTTAAGCGGCTTATTTTTCATCTGTCTAAAGAGAAATGGCCACATCATGAGGAGACAGGAAAGCCTAGAGAAGACAATTATGCTGGGGAAAGTGGAAGGCAAAAGGAAGAGGGGCCGACCAAGGGCAAGATGGATGGATGGCATCCTTGAAGTGACTGGACTGACCTTGAGGGAGCTGGGGGTGGTAACGGCCGACAGGGAGCTCTGGCGTGGGCTGGTCCATGAGGTCACGAAGAGTCGGAGACGACTGAACGAATGAACAACAACAAAGAGAAATGAATGCTTTCTGTGTCAAAATCCATGAATAACCACAAGGGGTGCTGTGGGGAGAAGATCCTTGGTCAGACTTCCCACTTATAACAAAGCAAAACTTAAAATCTATTGTTACTCTGTGTGAGTTTCAACGTGGATTTGAGACATAGACATATGAATGCATGAAATTACTCAAAAAGTCTATTTTCCATTCCAGATTACAATAGAAGCAAATGTACTTACCAATGAGCACTGAACTCCCAGGACTAAACACTTTTCTGGTCCCTGAAGGAGATGTTATTACAGAAGGAATGCCTGGCCAGGTGATAGACAAAGTGGCTGCCATGTCTTCTAATTGAGGAGGAAGTTGTGGTGGATCTGGAAACACATTGAAAATACTAAGATATGATAAAGAAATATCTGATACTATTTAGTACCATTTACTGCATTATTAGATATGCTGGAAAGCCAGTTTCAAAAGTGAGACAATATGGTCTTGAGCAGGAATGCAGAAGAAAGAGAAGAAAAGAAGGTAGAAGAGAAAAATCATATAACAAAAATAACAAAATAAGCAAACAAAAAAAACCCTTAGATTTGCATCCTTCCACACATGTATGATCATTCCATGATGACTTCCACCTTAAGTAATACTTGTGTATCAATGGGCTAGTTGGCCATGTCATACTCAAGTCAGACAGAACATATTCAGTGGAATGGATTCGTAGAAGTCATCAGATGCATACATGAAGCAGGTCTTTGTGTGAATAATGGGCTCTCAGAAACGCCTGTTTTTTTCAACATGGTGTCAGACAGAAAGAGGAAGACAGAGTGAGGGAGGGAAACATAATGCGAAAGGAGCTTAACTAAGGTGTGTGTACATATTTTGCCCTGGAAGTTTGAGTCAGCACAGATTAAACACAAGTAAAGCACCAAGCCCTGAAAAATGAGTTCTGCCATGGGTACTTTTGTGTGATTTGGGAAGCAATAACATACTTAGGCCTTCCAAAATGTGCACACTTCATTAGCAAATCTACAGTAGCCTTTGCTCAACCCAGCCCTTCGTCTTTCATCTCTCAAGCAATTGGGAGCAAAAGTGGCACCAACGTGTTTTTAGGAAGGAAAATCCATCAGCACGCGCCATAAATCAGCTCCAGGAACACATTTCCACTCATGCTTAGGCCTGACAATGGCTTTCCAAATCACCCTGCTAAACTCAAACTGCCTGCTATTATCATGAAACCCAAGACAAAGTAAACTTCACCCTTCGATGAACCGAGCCCCCGTTTCTGTATTTGTTCTGAAAAATAAAGGCAAGCTAGGTTTATGCATCTGTCAGTGAGGTGTGAAATTGGTCTGTGTCACTTTATGATTTACCGCATGGCTTACTTCTTCAATATGAGGGTGACAGAGAACAGGAGGATATTGCCTTCATTTGGGAAAGCTTGCTCTGGAGAAGAGCCTCACTCCATCTTCTGCCAGCATGGAAAACTGGTGTAAAATTCTCAGATGTGACTGACACTCTCCAGAGCTTGGAGCCAGTGGAAATGAATACAGGAAGAACACTATTTCAGACTGCAAGTCAGACATTTCCATAGGTGTTGGTGTTTGCTGAGATCGGGATGGAGTTTTCAGCAAGTTTTCAAACTTACTCTTCATTTAGGAGTGTGGGGGGGATATATTTCAATACCATTTGTTGTCATTACTCTTTTTATATGGATAGTAATGATTTCAAGGATGGAGAATCTTCTAGATGCCATCTCTGATCATCTGTGATGCTGTCTGGTGTTAATAAGAGTTGGAGCCTGGCAAATCTGGAAGGCCGCTACTTCTCTTTTGCCTGACAGAATAACATACCAACCCATCAGCTTCTTCTCCCATGTTTGACATCTTTTGACAAAAGGCACGGCCCCCATATCTGTGAGGGATAGGTCCTGAACTTAGGGTAGAAACAGTAAATCCTGGAACCCTACTGAAATGAACCCCTTTCTCAGGAAGTTATCACATATTCACTTTAGGATCTAGAAAATGTTGCTATTAGAGGTTTACAACAGGCTTTTTTCTAAGTAACGGGTAGGATCAGAACCTTTTCTGTTACAGCTGCCACAAGTTAATTGGGTGTGCTATTTGATTCAGAATATAACAAGGCACTAGGTTTGCAAGCTTTGAGCTTTGCATTTGGCTTAGCTTGATGGCTCATTTGAGCTGAAGAAGCCTTTGGATGTTGCTGGGAGTGGTTACACAGCGTCCTGAAGCCATTTGAAGTGTCAAGGAAACTGCTTGTTTATGGCAAGACACAGACTTTCTACTGATAATTACGTAGGGAGACTGTATTATTTTGCTATGTGTTTGCATATTGTTGTGTAAAGAAGAAGAATACCGGAGATATTATTTATTGTATAATGGTGAGAACAATACTTCTGTTTTGCTTTGCATTTTTGATCTACAGTGAATAGAACTATATTTTTATTTCTATTTAAAGCAACAGACTCATGTGTATTTTTTGAGTTTTTTGTTGTTGTTTTAACCATAATCAAATAGCATTTATTATGGTTAAAACAATAAAATAAAATATATGTAGTACAGCCTCTGTACCCACGGTTTCACCTATCTGCATTAAACAAATTATGTCCTTTAGGAATTTTCTGTCAGAATAGCATTAATAGCCCGCATAATGTCTCAGAGCCTGTTACTTTCAATCAATGCTATCTGAAGTGCATGTAATGCACTCTACATGGGGATTTCTGTTAAATGTCACCATGTCACCTTCCATACATCAGATATTTTTGTTATGTTTTGTAAAAACATTTAAATTAATATCTACTTCGGACTCAAGTCACTCTCTTTTATATCCCTATTAATGATGTCCTGCCTCTTTGGGTTAAAGGTAAAGGTTTTCCCCTGACATTAAGTCCAGTCGTGTCCGACTCGGGGGGGGGGGGGGGGGGGGGGGGGTTGGTGCTCATCTCCATTTCTCAGCTATGTGTTGGCATTGTCCATAGACACCTCCAAGGTCATGTGGTCGGCATGACTGCATGGAGCACCGTTACCTTCCTGCCAGAGCAGTACCTATTACTAATGCTGTTTACATGTTTTCAAACCGCTAGGTTTGCAGAAGCGGGAGCTCACACCACAGATTCAAACCTGTGACCTTTTGCTAAGCAACTTCAGCAGCTCAGTGGTTTAACCCGCTGCACCATTGGGAGCTCATTTTGGATTACAGATTATTTTTTAATGATATAAATAGCAAGCTCCTTGAAAATGAGTGAAAATTTCCTCTTACCCAGAATCAGCAACTGTGTGCTTTCAGTAATCTCCCCACGGATATTGGCTGCCCTGCAGGAGTACAACCCCTGATCAGAAAAGGAGACATTCGCAATCTGCAGTGACCCATCATGCAGGTGACGGCCAGAGGCCAGCTTGGTGTTATTCTTAAACCAAGTGAGTTCTGCTTCAGGCACACCTGGGGAGAAAACACATTAAAATAAAGATTGAGAGACACACTGACAGACTATTGACATTACATGCACTCTGTTGTTACGAAAAGCAGAAGTAAACCGGGCGCTTATCACACTAGGCAATTATTTCAGATTATTCCGTTCGAAAGCTGTTTTTGCCATACTTGGAAAGGTAGTGGAAATATAATAATAATAATAATAATAATAATAATAATAATAATAATAATCCCAGGTGACAGCAGGATTGAAGAGAAAAAAACTGGAAAAGCTGACATCATAGGAGGATTTAAAGATCAAACTGCAAAGACTCTGGCATTAGCCAGTCAAGGTAGTCCCAGTGGTGATCAGCACACTGGGTGCAGTACCTAAAGACCTTGGCCTGCACTTGAACACAATCAGCGCTGACAAAATTACCATCTGCCAGCTGCAAAAGGCCACCTTACTGGGATCTGCATGCATTATTCGCTGATACATCACATAGTCCTAGACACTTGGGAAGTGTTCGACATGTGATCCAATACAACAACCAGCACAATTATCTTGTTTGCTGTGTACTAATCTTGTTGTATTACTACAACTACTATTACTACTACTACTACTACTAATAATAATAATAACAATAAAACTTTATTTATAGACCGCCCTTTCTTCCTAAAGAGACTCAGGGTGGTTTACACACAAAAATGGCAAACATTCAATGCCTCAAATGAGTAAAAACACCTCAAAAATAATACAGGATAATGCACAGTAATAGGAAAAGGCAATGCACACTTTTGCACCTTCAGTGCATTTGCAATTCAGTGGTGTTTGTTTTTATGTTTACTTTCTTGCCTTGCTTATGTTTACTTTCTTTCTTTACTTTCTATCACCACTCTGTTTGCTCTGCCTGCTGCTCTATGTTTCTTTTAAAAATGGATATACGCATGAATGACTAAGTCTAATTAATATTTCCCATTAAAATAAAATACATCCAATCAATAGAATTCATGCAAGTGATGACTAACAGCTACAAGTCATTTCAATGGTTAAACCACAATTGGGACTAAAATTGGATTCAGTCCTGAAATGAATGACCTTAAACATTTCATGTGTCTCCTCACTCATAGACCCCAGTGCTCTGCATCAGTGATAGTGTGGGCCATCTTCCCTCACCAAGGGAAGACCCTTGTAATGTGTTTGTATCATCTGGCAGCTCTCTACACTACACCTCAATGATGGGAACAATGCAGGCTTCGGGTATTGCCGGACTCCAACCTTCGTTTACCTTAGCTAGAATTAGCCAATTGAGAAGAATACTAGGAATTTTAGTCCAAAAGCAGCAGAGGGACCACATTTTGACCACTTCACTATAGCTGGTGATTGTGATTGATAACAGGATGTCATTTTCTCCATATCGGTAACTGCATGATAAGTGCAACCACAACAACTTCTTTAGGAAGGAAGGAAGGGATGCAGGCTTCTGGGCCCTACGTATCCTCTCAAAGCTAACAAGGGACAGGTTAACACCCCTGCCTGCCCTAACCACCTCCCAGAACTCGAGGGAGAGAATATAATCCAATCTTGGTATTTTGATGGATAGTTCCTTCACCAGTGAAGCTCTTGCAGTAGGAGAGTGAAAATAATTTGAACAAAACCATCTTGTTCAACTGTGTGCCTGCTTTCTCTATCAGGTTGACTTTTGTTGTGCTTCTTTCACCTTCCGTTACTTATATTCATGCACATTTGGGCATGTGCTTTTCCTAACATATTGTTTCAAAATAGATTTTTTCCTCTGTGACTAAAGATGACTGGTGTGAAATGCATATAAATTACAAATTTATTTGTGTATAATTCAAGGGGGGGGGGGGGGGRGATCTGGTCCCCCTCCAAACAATTGGAAAAGGAAAGTAACACACAGTTTTGCTAAAARCCCTGAAGGYGAGGAATTAAAGGAATTTATAAAACATATTGATTAATTGCAGTTTAATATTATCCCTTCCTCTGTTACTAGATTTAAGCCATTAAAAGGTTGGCAGGAAATCCAATAACTGCTCCCTGTGTTGCAACTCATTTAGCCCTACCATTTATTGAGACACTCTTGGAGGTGTCTCAATAAACCATCAGGAGTTACTCAGTTCATTTTAGCAACTTTATGATCAGCTAGGAGCTCTGAAATGGTTGCACTGTGTACCCTTATTTATTCTGAACCCTGTTAAAAATTACAAGGTTGAAAAATGGAGAGTGCCACTGTACTTTTGGTGGCACAGAAGAGAGGATTTCCGTAGGTGTTGTCATGAAACCAGGTAACAAGCAATACTTATCAATGTGTTGTCAAAGGCTTTCCTAGCTGGAATCACTGGGTTGTTGTGAGTTTTCCAGGCTGTATAGTCATGTTCCAGAAGCATTCTCTCCTGACATTTTGCCCACATCTATGGCAGGCATCCTCAGAGGTTGTGAGGTCTGTTGGAAACTAGGCAAGTAGGGTTTATATACCTGTGGAATGTCCAGGGTCGGAGTAAGAACTCTTGTCTGTTGGAGGCAAGTGTGAATTTTGTAATTGGACATCTCGATTAGCATTGAATGGTTTTGCAGCTTCAAAGCCTGGCTGTTTCCTGCTTGAGGGAATTCTTTGTTGGTAGGTGTTATCTGGCCCTGATTGTTTCCTGTCTGACATTATACAGATATATAAAACCCACTTGCCCAGTTTCCAAAAGGTCTCACAAACTCTGAGGATGCCTGCCATAGATGTGGGTGAAATGTCAGGGGATAATGCTTCTAGAACATGGCCATACAGCCTGGAAAACTCTCAGCAATCCCAAATTCACACTTTTACATAAGCACCGTCCCCTAGTTTCTTGCTTTCTAAAATTATTTTCAACCTCTACTACTTGACCACTCTTTTCTCCCTTGCCCTTATTTCATCCTTTGCACAATCGTAAATAGATACATTTTGCAGTATTCTGGTAATGGGTTTCCTTTTTGCCTTTGGCTCCCTACTTTTAAAAATAAAATTTTTGGATTTCACCAATGCATGAAGGAATCTCCACTGTTTCTAATGGAGCTGCTTTGTGAAAAGATGCTCAGCCTGGCCATACACAGTTCAGCATTAAAAAAAATGTTAACCTTGTTCACAGGACCCTTCAACAGTAGGACAGAGTCACATGGAAATCTATAATGTAGGCAGAGGTCAAGTGAGAAGCACAATGGCTCAGTACTTCATCCAATATTTTGTCAGTTAACACAAATCCTATTTTGTAGCAGACACTTGATTTTTCAAACCCAGTAACAGCAACTTTCAGGTGATGAAATGAAAAAATAAATTAACACCACCACTACATTATGTTCACATTTTTTTTTGCAGCTGGCTACTTAAAGCTCAATTCAAAATATCCTCATCAAGGTCCCACAACAAAGGAGATCTTGTCCCTTTTGAGGCCAAGAGCCCCAAGGTGTGATCTAAAGTGTGGCTGATAACAACCTACAGCTGCATTTGATACAAAACAATATATTCAAAGATCCTGATCCTTTTTTTGACTTTATGACCAATTTGCCTTTACACTTTGCTAAAGGTAAACAGAATATAATCACAACCAAATGTCCCACCTGTTCGGAGAAAATTGCATGGGAAAAAGAGTATGCATGGAAGTGAACAGCCACTAGGCTTTCCTGTATTCTATTTCATGTGAGGTTGTTTCCAGGAGATGGATAAAGAGAGCAAAATCACAGCAAGCTGGCAAGAATGTCAAAATCTGCCATATAAAAAGACAGGTGCAAACAAACCCTTCTAGAGCTGCTGTTCCCCAGAACTAACAGAAGAGGGAGCAAGAGCATTTCTCAGATCTTGGTTCTATACTCTACTTAGCTTGCTGTTTGTCACCTGTAGCGCTGATGGAAATAAAGGCAGAAAAGGCAAAAGAAACAGGGGATGGAAAATGAATGGTGGGCTTGTTATAATTGTTATGTTGGAAGTTCAGTGTCGATTTCCACTATAACTGAAAAAGACAGTAGGTAAATCAGACTCACTACTCCAGTGGGCTTTTAGTATCTCCTGGAGTTTGGTTCCGAGACCATCTTTGGGATACCAACATTTTTGGATGCTTAAGAGGTTTCATTGCACATTTTTGTGCAATGGAACATTTTTGAAAAAAAAATCCCATTTTGTGTAATTTTTTTACATCTTGGTTTTGCCCTGCCGGACATTTACTTTTAATATGCCAGGCATTTATTTCCCAGAGCTTAATCAACTGTGCAAACATTAGAGGTGTGTGAAGCAACTGAAATCCAACTAGTAAATCGTTTCCAACATTCATATGGCCCCCGCTTCGTTTCGTAAAGATTCAGAGAGGGTCCTGTTTAATTTTGTAATCTGAAACTCTGAAGCTTTGTAATTCTTTCCTTAATATTTGTTCCATTAGTGGCAATGGGGAAAATTTCGAGGCTTGCTTCTCCATCATTTTTAAGGCAATCAGGATGAAACTTGCTACACTTCTGGGCAACATTTATAACTTAAAGTCTTCCAAGTTCATCCACTAATTTTTAGGAATTTTAAAAAGTTTTTTTTACAATGAAACAGATGTTGAGGGAAGGAGACCAGCTTTGCAGAAAGCTGTGTGATTGGCTGACAAGGAAAAAACCAGCATACAGCTGCCATTGTCAATCAAATCAGCCCGTTTGCCCCCTCCCACCCCAGACAATTACAGAGTATGTTACACTGAAAAAACTACAGCTTGAAACTCTCCAAAACGACAAATCTTTAATCATCTCTCCAAAATGTTTCAGAGACTTCCGTTTCAACTCGTAATGCTTTGGAGGGATCCTGTTCCGATCAGTAATTTGGAGATTTGTATTAACAAAACATATAATTCTCTGAATTACGAAACAGACCTCTGAATATTTGCACAGCCCTTAGTAAACATGTAAACCCAAATGAACCCACGTATTGCCTGTGCCACCAAGTATCCTATGGAGAAATGATTGGCTGCGACAATCCTAATTGTCCAATTGAATGATTTCATTTTGCTTGTGT